AGCTCTGGCGGACTTGGTTCTATGGTAGGTCTTAAAGGGTTAAAAGCTGCTGCACACACACAGGTGACTTTATACCTGTGTGTGCTCTGATGCAGACTCAGGCTGTGCCTCATTATGTGTGAAAGAAACGCTTTTCTTTCTTTTTCACTGTGTGTGTCTGTGTGCGTCTGTGTGTCTGTGTGTGCGTCAGGCTTGGAGATTGAGGGCATCTTCAGACGATCTGCCAACGTGACTCTGGTGAAGGAGGTCCAGCTCAGGTACAACTCAGGTAGGAGCTCTGACTGCCCTGCTGAAATTCACTGCTGTAGACTCATGATGGAGGAGTCCCCTCCACTGTGACGTCAGTTATGATCCTCTGTGTTGTGGATTGTTCTGTAAACACCAGTTAGGCTGCAGAGGACCTGGTTTCTTCCATGTCAGAGCAGGGTTGGATGCTCGCCTCCCTTCGGGTTTTCTTCTGTTCTCATTGAACTGGTGTGTTTGCAGGTGCGACAGTGAACTTCAGAGAGATGGAGGATGTGCACCTGGCTGCTGTCATCCTGAAAACATTCCTGAGGGAACTCCCCGAGCCTCTGCTCACCTATCAGCTCTACAACGACATCGTCAACTTTGCCTGTAAGTACGGTTAGAGGAGTCTCAGCTCGTACCTGTGTGAAGCCCACCCCCCTACCTGGCCTACAGCAGTTCACCTGATGACTGTTTGTTCCAGCTGTGTCCAGTGAGAGTCAGGTGACAGTAATGAAGACGCTGGTAGAGTCGCTGCCAGAGGAAAACTACGCGTCGCTGCGATACCTCATCACGTTTCTGGCACAGGTACAGCTGATGGTCTGCACATCCTGCTGATTACAAAACATCCTCTCTGTGTGTTACAACATCCTGTGTGTGTGTTTAGGTGTCAGCCAACAGTGAGGTGAATAAGATGACCAACAGTAACCTGGCTGTGGTCTTCGGTCCCAATCTGCTCTGGGGGCGGGACAACGCCATGTCGCTCAGCGCCATTGGACCAATCAATAACTTCACGAGAACCCTGCTGGACCAGCAGCATCTGGTGTTCGCCTAACGTCCCGCCCTCTGCTCCGAGCTCTTTCTGCCAATGTGAAACGCCGCCGAGACCCTCCTTCCCCTGCAGCATTTAGCCGTTAGCTTACCTTAGGAGCATCATCAAAGTACTCAGACAGGCCGACTGTCTCTTACACGCCGCGCACATCTAAAAAGATTCAGTGGACCAAGTTATTCGTGTGTCACCAGTCGTTCTGAGCGTCCTGTTATCATGTCTGCCAACTTCTCTCTTTGACTCCAAGCATGAAAACAAGTGGAAACAGCACACGTGTTAGAGCTCAGGCAAAGAATAATAATGTTAGCAAAAAATAACAAAACACTACGAAATGCAAGCGCGAGTAAACAAGAAAGATCCCCAGTTTTGTTCCAGCGTTAAATTAGAGGCATGAAACGCCGCGGCCCTGATACCACCTGCGTGAGTGGGCACGCTGTCGCCACACCCACTCAGGAATCTACCAGGATCCACTTTGTGTTCTTAAAGTCGTGATAACTCTCGACATCACTTTGCATCATGAAATCCCACAAACACGTCATGACGTGCACGTTTCCCTTCCTTTAAATCAGCGCAGTGCTTCCTACAGTCTCCACGAGCACAACGTGAATCTGACGTGACGTGAAGTCGTTTCACGCCGTATCAGGCCAGCTCGCTATAAAGAGCTGTAACACTGGGGGAGGGGCATAAAAGCTCTCATAAATCTGAAATCACTACATGTGTGAACGCAGGGTTAGTCATTCGCTGCCACGTGCTTCTCCACCACCCGAACTGCTCCGTCCATGCCTCCGTCACTCCCTGCATGTGTTCATATCTGTATTCAGCTGCTTCCACACAGCGGCTGGTTTGCATCTTTTCTCTGTCAGTAGCAGCTGGTCGTGTTGTTTTCTACGTAGTGCCAAAAAGGCGTTTCCCCCGTGTTACCAAACCTTCTTTAGATTCTGATTCTGTACTAAAGAGAGGGCTGATGAGGAGAGTGGAGGCGCGACTCAGGTTAACGTCAGAATGGTGAACTTTGTGGACAATCGATGAAATGCTGTACTTGGAGTGGCAGAAACCACCCACAGCTGTGCACGTGGAGTCTTTCTCTTCCTTTATATGACTTTAAT